AAGTTTAACTTGCATAAAGATTTTTTTTAATTTGTATTTTTGTGGGCTTAAAATTTTCTTTTTGTTTTATTAGGATTTTAGAACTGCAGCCATGCAAATTTTCGTTAAGACCCTAACGCGCAAGACTATTACTCTTGAGGTTGAGCCTTCGGATACAATTGAGCATGTGAAGGCAAAAATTCAAGACAAGGGAGGGATCCCCCCAGATCAACAGCGCCTAATTTTCGCAGGAAAACAATAGGAAGATGGGCGAACCTTAGCCGGTTACAATATTCAAAAGGAATCTACTTTACATTTAGTACTTCGGCTCAGGGGAGGTGCTAAAAGCGCAAGAAGAAGAACTACTCCACACTTAAGAAAATCTAGCATAGGAGGAAGAAGGTCAAATTGGCCGTTTTGAAATATTATAAGGTATGCCTATAGGCACATAGTGAATCGGCTAGCAAAGTGTCGATTTCATACGTGTATGCACGTTTTAGAGATGCATGATTCAATAATACAAGGTTCGATAAACTGACAGTTGTCTCTCTCGCACCGCTCCCTAGCATCAGCACCGTGTTGCTTCTTTGCAAATTTTCTTGAAAAAGGTGTAGCTTTGGTGTGAAATAGAAGCACATTTAAGGGCCGTTTACTCAATGTCTGGTTAACACTAATCTGCGGTTAAACATCGTTATCGACGTTACCGACTCCCTGTTATATGCATGGAGTCGAAGACGACGGTAACGATGTTTAACCGCAGATTAGTGTTAACCAGACATTGAGTAACCGGCCCTAAGTGAAGAAAACATAAATTGTTTTTAAATTGGATGTTTACAAAATCTCATAGTCGTTTTATTTTATTTCTGAGTCCTTTTGCAGTTTTTAAACACCTAAATAGCACAGAAATTACGTAAGTCACGTAGATATATTAATATTTCCTTCAATATTTCGCTTAAAATTCTAGATTTCTTGCAAGTACATTGGAATTTACAAAACGAATTTCACTACTAATTGCGTACCTTTCTACTACCATTTTCGCAACAAGGGATTGCATTCTTGCCCTTTCTCTGTCTTTCGTAAAGGCAACCTTTTGTAAGGGAGTGTCAAACCGCGGCTGTCAATAATTATCTAACCTTGTATTATTGAGTCATGCATATGAAGCACATTTAACTGATAAAAACATAAATTGATTTAAATTGGATGTTTACATAAATCTCGTAGTAGTTTTATTTTAATTTTGAGTCCTTTTACAGTTTTAATACTGCTAAGTAGCACATAAATTACGTAATTCACGTGATATATAAATACTTCGTTCAATGTTTCGTTTCAAATGCCAGATTTCCTGCAAATACATTAGAACTTACAAAAGGAATTTCACTACTAATTGCCTACTTTGCGTACTTTTCTACTACCATTTTTGCAACAAGGGATTGCATTTTTCTCCTTTCTCTGTCCTTCGTAAATGCAACCTTTTGTAAGGGAGTGTCAAACCGCGGCTGTCAATAATTATCTAACCTTGTATTATTAAATCATGGCTTTGTTTCTTTTCTTTTCTAGCTGATAATTATCAGGAAGAAGAAGAATGAGAAAATTGTAGGAATTACGCTCGCAGAGAGCGAAATAACGAAAAAGTAAAGAAACGAAAAACTAGCAGAAACTATTTGGCGCGAATTTTTGTTTATCCATTTTGACAGCTGCTAGTTTCTGCTAGTAAAAATTTTACTAGCAGAAATTAGCGGGAGAGCCAAAAAAAAGAAGAGCGTAAGAACGAGAGAGAGCTGCTAGTTTCTGCTAGCTTTTTGCGTTAAGAAACGCTTTCCAGCAGAAATTAGTGATAATTTGTGATAATTATCTCTTAAGAAATGCCTCATGGTAGAGATGTATCCAAGGCGCATTCATAACGTGTATGTATCTATGAGAGCGCAAATACTAAAGAGCAAAACGTAGATAGAGTAAAATAGCATAGCGTCGTTTTCAACGAATTTTGTTTTCTTCGCTATGCTAGGTGCTCTTTTTACGTTTTGCTCGCCGCTTCACAATATGCTTACCCTGAGAAGGATGAATTGTAAAACAGGATATTAATAAACTGTTCATTTAGGTCGATGAAAATGGCAAAATACTTCGCCTTCGTCGCGAGTGCCCTGGTAAAAATTGTGGAGTTGGAGTGTTTATGGCTGCTCATGAGGATCGCCATTATTGTGGAAAATGCCAATTAACATTTGTTTTTTCCAAGCCTGAAGACAAATAAATTACTATATCTGTATACACGTCAGTACTAGATTCCATGCTTAATTTTTAATGGTCGCTATTGGGCTTCTTTAGAGTAGAATAAACAGACAGTGCAAGCGCGCATAGGGCCATGTCTCACGATCAATATTTATTGACGTGATCCAAGTATCGCGATATTTATTGACTGTGTAGCATGCAATATTGATGGATCGTGATCCATATCGCAAAATTTCTAGAAATTTTGAAATCTGGATCGCGGATCGCAGTACTGTCAATAAATATTGAACGTGTAGCATATTTCGTTCGCGATACGTCAATACGTGTGTATTTCAAAATAAAGTGGAGATTTAAATGTTAAAGGCGAAACGTTAATTATCGGAATAATTATTTATTTGTCAGCGGTAATTTTTAATAATGTCGGACGACGAAAGCGCACATATCCAGCCGGCGGTGTTGGGATAAACGAATGGCCAAAGGTGTTTGAAGGAGTTTATCCTACAATTGGAAAGTATGCCGGAATTGTGGCATCCTTCGTCCAAAAGCTACATGAATAAAATAAAAAGAACGGCCGGACATGAGAAATTATTACTAATCTTATACTATGTCTCCATTGTGAGATTTAATGAAGATTTAGCCCTCTGACGAGATTTGACGTTAAATCTTTTGAGATTTACCATATAAAATTAAATCTCGAAAGGCAGTAGATTTAAGTTAAATCTTCGTCAAATCTTCAATAATATTGATCAATAAGTACAATTTGTTGGATGTGGCAACCACAAATTCACATGCCATAAGTCAAATGACATTTGTGTTTTCAATATACAGTTGAGGACATTGAAATCTAACCTATGATAAAAACATGAATTTTCGTATTTTTAGGGATTATTATATTTTTGTTAGTTTGGGAGGAAAATTAGTAATACATATTTACATAACTTTGGTTGTAATAAATTAAGAAAATATTATTTTAAAAACTAAAAATTTAGAAGAAATGTTTTATAGTAATATCATGCAGTCTTCTCCGCTTTCTATAAGTCATTTACGCGCTGCGACAAAAAATTTATAAATTTCGGTAATGGTTCTGCTTCGATAACATTGCACCGAACATCCTCTAGAACTCAGTTCGTATTCATGATATGCCAAAGGTCCACGATTGGATTTTCGGGTCCCTCCTATGAATAAGAGAGTTCTACAAAAATTTTTCTTTCCGCAAATGTTTTTTACCGTTTTGATAATTTTTCTTAAATTCGGGAAAATGATTCGGAATATGGAACCATTCTTTACACTTTCCAAACTATATATTATACATACATATTTAGCACGAATAAGAAGCCAATAATATTCAGAATTCATATAATGAAATTCCGCTTGGTACCTTCCTTTTATCTGTCTGTATATCAATGTCCGCAACTGTATTTGTAAAATCATACATAAGCAAACGTCAAATATTTAAAAATGTGAACGTCAAACATATCTCGTAATGGTAATGGAGACGGTTGTGATTTAGCAACTGGATTTATTAAATCTTAATGGATAAATCTCTCAATGGAGACATAATATTAGGTGATGTCCGAAAAAAATAAATTCTTAACGATCAAATTATCGAAAGGAATTGAAAAAAATTATTGACTCCAAGCGCTCCGGAGCTGGTACAGAAGACGTTTATATTCCAAAGTCTTGGACATTTAACGCTCTTCACTTTTTAAATAAAAATGAGAAGCCTGTTGACCTGGTAAGTAAATTTGTTTTAAAGATTTCCTTGAATTCTACTCATACTCTAGTGAATACCTAGCTATAAAGGTGGAAAGAAAAGAAAGTAGTATGTAGATTGTCTGTTGTTTTAAGTGAAAACTTTTATTATTCTTTTTTTTCATATACATAAGTGATAAAAATTGAGTGGCAAAAGTTAGCATCTATATTCGTCATTGTAATATTTGCAAAATTTGTCTCTTATAGTTTTGGCACATCTTGTTGAATTTCGCGCCGAACTGCTTTGTACGGTGGTTAATTGAAAATTATACTCATTGGAATTTGGTGCCTGATAATTAGAATCTTTTCTCATTAAATAATTGTGCAGATAAAAACAAGCTGCTGTCACTTTTGCGGCTTTCTGCGGGCTG